GGCTTTGTCTCACCAATCTTCTTTTCCTCATTGCCAGTCTCGGTCGAAACAGACGCGTCAAGATCTATCGGTGCTTCGGTTGGAATTGGCTGCTGGTCTTTCAAGGCCTCCTCATTGAGGTTGGAGAGTGCAACGATCGAAGATGGTCCTGGTGTGTCCACAGCATTTGGTAGAGGTAGAGTCGGCATAGTGTCAACGAAGCTCCCATTGCCTCCTGGGCCACTCAATGGGGAAGGAAAAGAACACCATGTTTTATGTTTCATTGAACTATTGAACCACATGTCTTACATACCAATACCTACCAAACCAATGTTCTTGAAAGCGGTCCTTCCATGGCCGCCTTTTTTTCCACTTCACGTCGCGCCATTTCAGCCCTGAAGGGGAGTTGAATGAAGAAAAGGAAATGACTACAGAAATGGTACTCAACATGTTTAAGCCCACTATGTTTATCCAAGAGCCAAATTACATGTTGGGCCCCATGGCGCCTGATAGCCGCAATGCGATCCAGGACAGTTGATGCAACGGCACTGGGTTCAGCCGGGGCCTCAACTGGAGCAGGGTGTGGAGGTGGGCTTGGATAGATGTCCTCCACGGGACTTGGACAAGCCTCCTCATCGTCAGCATCAACATCCAGTACCCCATCCTCAATGGCAAGCTGGCGGAGTGTCGGCCGTTGAGAATCTTCACCAGCGTCCACATACCAGTAGGTGTCAAAAATGTCATAGATGTCAAGTAGGCAGCGGTCCTCGACGATGATGTCATCAACAATAGAACACAATCACTAAGTCCTAAACTGTTGGGAATATTCACAGGGGTACCCTAGAAAATTAAAAACATAATAGGGCAGAGGGGCCCGTGGAGTAGTTGATGCAGCAAGCCACCTCCTCAAGGCATAGGAGAAAAGCTTCTTGATACCCCAGGCATCCATTGAAACCACGCCAAGGTCTGTCGGGTCCAGGTTCATCAGGTTTCTGAGGTACTGGACCTAAAGGGCACCCCTCCATCCAAACTCAAACACACCAAACGTGGATCTTATCATTGGGAACTGGTGTGAGGGTATCAAACAAAAGAATGTGGGAACCTCGCCTCTGCCCTCACGGCAGCTACTGGTACTGACTGCGGGGCATCAGCCTGCGGGCACCACCATTGAGCAACATGTTCCATCACTGTCTTGTTCATGGCAAAGGATCTCTTTGATGGTGCCCCCACCAAATGCTTTTCTTTTGGCCACTCAAGAATCGCCTTGAGCTCTCGAACCCGATCTCTAACCATTGAGTCCGCTTCCCACACCCGGTGAAGAGCTGGTCTGTCCATCGCTCTCCAAGGTTCACCCTGAATTGAGCGCAGCACAGCACGGCCAGACTTTTGAGCAGCTGAGGGATTGAGAGAAATCAGGTGATCAGCAAAGTATTTGTACTCAATACTCGTAAAAAAAATACGCACGAAATAAGAAGAAGAGTGTCGGCACTTCAAGCCTTCTCAAAGCAGTGCCACTGAAAATAGAAGACAATCTTCATCGCAGTACCTAGAAACTCATTCAGTGATTCACTTGATTGCCCAAAGTGGCGCCAGAAAAGGAAAACAGAGCGCACGAGATGAACCTGGTCGGATGGAAGGTGAAGAAGGGCACAACTTGAGCACGAGGTGGCACTATCGCCACTCAAAGTGGCTGCGTGTCTCCAAATGTCACTCAGAACACACAAACCCAAGAATCGCCGAAGTCTACAGAAACCTATTTCTACAAAAATAGTGACCCTGTTGGAAGGGCTAGGGATGGCTGGGGGATGCCACGCATCGCAGAGGTCTTTTTTTTGATACAACAGCGACCGTGGGTTGAGGTGAAGATCTGTCTAGCAATCTCTTTAGGATGTTCACAAGAAAGGATCAAAGAGTATCATAATATGAGTATCATATAGAGTAATTATCAGAGTATCCCTTGACGTCTTTCGCATCTTGTCGACCCGCATCGCACATCCCGGCGCCTGAGGTTGACCCATCCCCGGGCCGACGTGCCCTTCGATGCCGTCGAGGACGCGGAACGCTGCGTCCACTTCCTGCATGATCAGGCGGCTGCGCCAGCCGGAGCTGCTGTTTTCCCGAGGGGACCGGAAAGCTTAGAGCTGGTGAAATGACAGCTTGTTGAAAGATGTTGAAAGTTTTGCATCAACTAATTAGGTGCAACAAATGTTCCGTGAACATTCATTTCATGCATGTATCGCTACTGTATGATATTGTATTCGTCTTTTTTTGGCAGTTTTGACATGTTTTGAATGGTTTCGAGATGACCTCCCTGGTTGGATCTACTGGATGATGAATCGAAGGCAAGTGGGAGTTCGGATTTTTTGAAGCCACACTTTCCATGACCAGTCGGGTCCAGTCGTACCGAACCTGAGAAGGTGATTGGATCCGAATGGATTCCATGCGGAAACGCCATGGAAACGCAGATGTTTTCGCCGCCCAAAGGCCGATGAACTGGGCCTCGACCGAAGGAGGCTCGGAAGACGTTCGACCAGTGACGGGAGTGGACGTGGTGGTGTCAAGCCAAGGGCGTGATGAACACCGGAAGCTGCAAGTTGCTCTTGAGCCTTTTGCTCCTTTTGTTTTGCTTCAATGATGTTTCAAGGCTATAACGCCCATGTCTTTATAGCCTGATTTGAGTTAGTTTATAGCCAAATGTGAAATAGTGCAGCTTCCAACATCCTACCCCCATCCTTAGCCCTCTCTGGGCTTCACCACGGGTCCTTCCCACAGACCGACCATTCACCAGACGCGCCCGGGCGCCGCCGCGGCAGGTTGGTCCTGGGCGGCTTGAGTGCCGGAGGACACCTGGCGGCCATGGCGGCCTTGGAACGCGGCACCGAGCTGGGACTTGCAGGCCCGGTTCGATGGGAGGGTCCGGGGGTTCGTTTGGTTGCGAGGCTTGAAATGGAACACGTGAGAGACCGGACCAAGATGATGGGTTCCAGCAAAATTCCCAATTCCGTGTCTTTTTCCTTCTTTGCTCCAACTAAGTATGTGGAACTCACTGTTACCTCTCTATAGAGTCTAATAAGTCTATGTCGTTCTTGGCAGCCATGCCATCTCTACAGCACAGTGCAAGCTTGAGCTGCCTGAGTTCTACTCGATTCCGTGGAGTTCAAACGGTCCAGTCTGGGCCCTGACAGGCTTGGTCTTGCTGAACCCGGTGCTGGATTTGGACTTTCGAGCCGGGTGGCGAAGGCCCGGTTTGATCGGAAAACACTCATGTTTGGGCTCCAAAACAGGGGTGAATTCAGGTTCTAGGTATATATGGCATCACTTCACTTGGGGCATATCTCGGTTCACCCCACCATGTTCCCCCGACCAGTCCACCGTTGCCCGCGAGCGAACGACGTACCCCAGGTAGGTCATGCCAGGAAGATCTCCTGGTGCCATGACCCACAGCCACCTGCTAGCGATGACAGATTGCCAAACATAGCGCGCCGGTCATTGAACCGGAAATGGCGAGGCAAACGCCGTCCATCTGGCTGGGGGCGCACCTCCTCCGAGCCGTCTACGGGGAGGAGGCGCTCCATGCGAAGTCCCCCCTGCACCAGGCCGCACTTCGGGCGACGAAGCCGGTGCGGTCGACCGATGGCTTCAGCGGACTCGGAATTGAGATTCGCTTGGAGAGATGTCTTTGTAGATGAGCCAGGAGGCGAATCAAAGCAAGCCTGTCCCTCAAATTGATTTCGGCTAGAAACTGTTTGCCAAAGACAAATGCAGAGTGCAGCACTGTTTGTGATTTGGCTTTCTTTTTTCAATCCCTTTGAAACGGTACTTGGGAAGTTGGTGGTTTTTCACGCCATGGCGTGCTCGAAGCCCCACAAGTGAAATGGGCACCTGCATGGTTACTAATAAAGCTGAACATTGACGCTGCAGGTTCCAGGCGATTATGTTATAGCAATAAGCTACTAGTAGCAAAGGCATCGCTAGTAGGAGCATGGACGCTACTAGTAGCTCCTGGCCTTACTACTAATAGCAAGAAGCTACATGAATCTACTAGTAACCAGGGCATCGCTACTAGTACCAAGGGCATTACTACTCGGAGCAAATAGCTACTAGTAGCAAGAAGCTACTTGTGTCAATCTGAGGTCAGAAGTTTTGAGAACCACTTCTTTACCCACCAGCCAAGGGGATCCAGTTACCACAGCTGGTGAGCAGTGGTTCCAAAACGACCAAACCATAGACCGAACAGAACAGGCCCCTGGTTCCTTATAGAGTTCCTGACGGATCCACCATGCACCAGGTTTGTGTCGTGTTCCCCCACAGGTGCGAAGCTTGCCTTTTCCAACCTTGATCTTGCATGGCGAGGAGGACACCTACTTGCTGTTGTGGCATGTGGGAGTAGCTGCGTAGCTCCCCAAGAGCACTGAAAAAGAGAAACAACGAGAAACAACCTCAGCAGTGACTTGAAGCATACATCCTTGGAGACCGAGGGGTTCGCACTTCTAGAGACCTGGCTTTTCAAATGACTAACCAGTGATGTTTTGCAGGGAGGCCCCGGATAGGGAGGCTGCGATCCGACTCCTGCTTGGCCCTACTGACAGCGCCTGCTCAGGACACGCTGATTCCACTCGCGCAGTCTGAAGCCTTTATGAAGGAAATGCGACGGCCACTCGTCCGACGTCTCACATCGCAGGTGTGGCATGTTCGTAGGTGTGTTCTCGCGCACGACGCTCGCTCTCGCTCGCCGCTCGCTCTCGGTGGGTTTTTCTCAGTCGAGCGAAGCCTTCGGTGGTTCCTTTTTTGTTGGACTTTTGCTTTGGAATCGGACCGAGGAGTCGGAACAGGTGACCGGTGAACGGAGTCGGAACAGCCATTCTCTTTGTTGTGGAACCACCCCCAGATCTGTTCAGTTCAGCCTGCTCAGAGCAGGCGAACAGCCTCCTGGAATCTGGATTTGCAGGGCCCAGAGAGAAAAACATGCAGATGTTCCGTGAAGCGATGTCCATCTATGTCATGTTCAACATGTCAAGATGAACAGTTTCCTGGTCAAAGGTATCTAAGTGCAGTTCCTGCCTCGGACGGCGGCCTCCGCCTCCAGGTCGAACAACGAGTGCATGGTCGTCCCCTTTCCACAGGCCTCGGACGGTGTTCATTCCAGGGAGTGCAGCATATATGGTCAGTGCTTTGCTTTTTTGGGCCACCCAACTTATGGTGGCTACAAACACGTCATGACTAACTAGTTGTACCGATTCTTCCTGATACTATCACGACTTTGGGAAATTTTATGAAAAATTTGAGCATGGTAGGATTCTACACTCTACTCTAGGCATTTCTATCACTCCACTTGCTTGGGTGAGGCCCAGCCAAACTCTTTTCGCGCTGCAGGTGGACCACGACTTCCTCCGGGTTCCGCCCGAGTTGGCCGAGCGCCGCTGGGTGTCGAACCAGATTCGTTTGTTTCGTCGGGTTTTTTGGGCGTGGCGTGCCGAAACATGCGCCCAACCCTGGGAGCCTCAGCAGCGCACTCAGATGGCCCCACTGCACACACAGCAGTGGGCCCACGGCACACAGCGGACGGATTGCTGTCTTCTGGACCGTTCTTTTTGGTTATAGGAATGAGGGGTGGCGGGATTCTACAAGGAGAAGACATATCAGGGTGTATGTATGGGATGAGTGTTTTAACTAGTACTGTAGGGAGGTCCGGGTAGATCACCCATGATCCACCTCCTGCTTGATTCACACCCATCGATAGCCGAGGCCATGTCTCCACGCTGGGCGAGTTCTTTCGCTCTGCCGGCGTGCTGGCTTGAGCCGGCTGGCGGAACGGGAGGTGATCCTTTTCAGGAGAAAGCCACATAAAGGCGAAATGGTGTGGAAAGGAAGAGGTATATGAAGATGTCCAGTGATATCATAGATTGCTTCTTAGTGGAATGAGGGTGATTGATAGAAGGTGTTGTTTCAGGAATTTCCAGGATTGATGTGTGATTCACGGCATGTGATGGTTTTTCAACACTGTGAGCAAGTAGTGCATGACCATGACACATGATGTGGTCGCTCTCAAATAAAGCAAATAGATGTATATCCTGATTTGGGAACTGACATTGAGCCATACCAATTGGTGAAGACCGCCCGAGAATGTATGGTACTGGCTTTGGCTAGAAATGCAAAGCCTTTTTTAATGAAAAGATTCGACCACTCGAGTCTACGGCATCGCACTGGCGGCTGTGGTGGCTGCCGGCAAGCGACAGGGCAGGGAGTAAGATGAATTTTCAAAGTGGATTCCTGGGTCAATTCACTCACTGTGCGCATCGGAAGAGGGGCACAGTGGGGGCCCAGTGCATGAAAGCCAACTCTGACTGATGGTGCTGGTCTGTACATACGAAATTCACCGTGCACCAGCATTTGAAATCTGACGGCCAGAGGGTCCAATGGTATCTCATCTAGGACAACAAGCACTTTGACAACATAGAAGATTCATTCCAGGAGGCTCATATATAAGTAGGTTTGGGCCTGGCAAGCCTAGCAAGCCTCAAGCCCAGGATGTGTTCATGACATTCCCGCACACCCTCTCCAGCTTTGTATCATAAGCTATAGTAGCTTTTAAGGATCTCCAAACGGACCTCTTGGCTCAGAGGCAAACGGAAGGGTAGTGCACAGAAAGGGTTTTGCAAAAACCTATTCTACTAACATCGTGGAAGGCGTGGGACATTCGTAGAACCCAAGGCTATTCGTGGACAGTTCGTGGAATGGTGGGCCAGTAGGAGAACTGACTGCAACGAAATTCCAGAAACCTTCGCAGAACTTCGTGGAAGGTATTTTTGATGCACTAACTTCGTATAAGCGATTTTTGCTGACCCCCTTTCTCCACACACCCTCCATTTAGCCTTCATTGGCACAGTCACTGCTTGACATCTTCCCAGCTGTCGCGGCCCCACGTTGCCGTGGCCTGGGAACGATCCACGTGGTCGCGAGACGAGGTAAAGGTGTCTCCACCGCACTTGGAGGTTGGGGGGACACATGGACGTCATGGATTTGTGCAGGTTTCAGCTATGATTCATATAAATTCGATTTCAGCTCGAGTGGTTGGGGTTGAAATGGGGTTCAGGAGAAACAATCCAGGAGAGCTGCAGTCCTCCCAGTACAAAGCCTTTGTGTGAGCTGCAGGTCCTCCCAGGAATCCCTATCTATATGCCCAGATCATCTCACACAAAAGAAGCTGGCTGGAAGGGCTTGATTCTCAGACTGTGAGGGGTTGAGAGGATGTCACCTGATTTCACTGCCTCTGCCTCCTGGAAAGTCCTTTGGCAGACACCATCGGGTGCCAAGGTCAGAAGGAACACATAGAAACATGTACTAACATGACAGGGATACAGCTGGAAGCAAAGAGTGATGATGGCAAATTTAGGAAGTGGAAAACACGCACCTTCTCTTGGCACCTACTGTATCCATTTCATCCCCTTATAGTATTGGACATCCATTTTTCCGAACATCAATCGACATATTCTTGGCCAAGTCTGGCCAGTTTGGTGGATTTCTGGCGTGTGAAACACCGTGGTTCTCCTGCGAAACGGCGTGCGCGTCGCGACTCTCCGTGTTGCCAACCCACCGGAGAGTTGGAGGACTCGGTGGGCGCCGTGGTGAAAGTCGAGGGACAGGTGGCGCATTGGTTTCAGAAGGCCCGGCACCCACCGCGACGTTTGACATCGTCCATCGTCTGACGTCTGAAGTCGTGTCACGTCTGTCGTCCTTGGAGCGTGAGGAGAGTGAGTGGTTTGGAGGTGTGACCGGAAGACACGGCAGACAAAGGTGTGCGGTGTGGGTGTAAGATGTTATAAATATTTGTGTTTGGCAAAGCAACCACGGTTTGTAACGTTGAAGATCAAATTTGCAGGTTGACAGCCTCTCCTCAATGAGCTGCGTTGGTTTGGCGCTTGTTCCGGGATAATGATGTTCGATGGATTCGATGGATTCGATGGATTTGGATATTGGGAACCGTCTCTTGATTCCTCTGATGATCGCCAGGGAGATGGCTTCATACAAACGAGCCTGCCAGTCTTTGTTCGGAGCTGAGACGGCTAAACAGAGGGGGCCGCAGTTTCGCTGAAGCGTAAAAAAGGCATGACGTGAGTTTATGTAAAAGCTTTATGTTGTTTTGTCGAGGAAAAGCTGATGACGTGCATCATCCTGCCACATCTGGAGCCAAGCTTCAACCCACCATACCCAGACACTCCATGTATGATCATGTATGCTGTATGCCATACTTGCATACATTCACCCCTAAAACCACCCCAATGTATGCAAATATGCCATACATGCAGTGTTTGGGATAGATACAGTGATGTAGTGCCAAAAATCCCCACCATCGGAGCAGAGATGAGGTGAGGACACGTGATCGTGGCAGTGGCCATTGACCATTCCATACCGTCCCTATGTCCCCCTAGTCACTCTGTGAGCACGGTAAAGACACGGGAGAAAATGCCAGTGAACACTGTGAAAAGAACGCGGTATATTGAATATAAAGTATAGTCCTCCATGTTTTCTGTCTCGCCTATGCCATATATGCACTAATTATGATTCTCTCCGAATCAATTTAAAAACAAGAGAACCACATTGCCCCCGCTCGCTGGCTTCACGCCGCGAATCGGAAAGACTTGTTACGTCCATGTTCCGCTTCCGCCGCTGCTGCGGCTGTGCTTAAGGTCACCCCGTTGGGACAGCTCTTCGAGGCAGGGAGCCGGACGAGCACGACAGCCTTATGGCTGAAACCCATCCCACAGATGTACCAGTCACTATAGTTCAGGGGTCCTAGTTCAGGTGAGGGGGGTTCTGAAGAATTGGCCGTCTCAAAGATGGAAACCAGCACGATTGTCCACCTGAAGAGAGCTCTGGAGTAAGAAGATCTCATAAGACGATCCATCCTTTTTCGTTTTGGATCTCCACAACTCCACCGCGGGCGGCCGGTTCGCAGCCGGGGCGCCGCCAGCGAGGTGGAGGTGGTCCGTGCGGTGAACGCGGGACAGTGCGGGTGCCCGAGCGACCTCAGTGCGGCGACCTTTTCGCCGAAGCCGTCGAGAAGGTGAGGTGAGGAGGTGCTTGGCCGAGGGCGTGAAGGTTCTTTAGGCCCAAGCCGAGAAACAACGAAGGAATGGATATTATATAACCTGTATACATTTGTATACTATCACAGAATAATACTTGATGGATGGATACTTATCACAGTAGGATCTATATAACCAGTATACTTATCACCGAAAGGAGTACATGTTAAGCATACTTCAGCGGTGGAAAGTGGCTGAAACCCGAGAAGCTGCGAAAGGTGAGATGGTTTTGTTGAACTTCCAAGCAGAGGTGTCACAAGTGATGGGCCTATGAAGGCTCAGCCACTCCATCTACCCAAGAGTTAAAGGCTTACATCACCAAACCCATTTTCCTTCGCATCTTCCTGTTAGCCACTGGCCAACCCCGAGCTACTTCCATCTTGTCTACGGCAAGATCTCCCTCCATACCCTCTTAGGGTGCCCCCGCCAGCTCAGGAAGCACCGCCAGCTCAGGGGCACCACCTCACCTCTCACCTCTGGCTTCTCACCTCTCAGGAAGATGGACAGCGGCCTGGGCTTCTGCATTGGCCTCACGGGCCGATCTCCACGGCGCAGCCGCGACGACTCGTCCAAGGGCAAGGAGGCGAGAGTGGTGATGGGAGTGGTGATGAGAGACTGGGATGGGAGACTAGGATGGGGGAGGAGAGGTAGGGATAGGTAGGGGAGGTAGAGGGTTTGATGTGTGGGTGGGTGGGGTAGGTAGATGGGTTGTCAGTTATGTCAGTTGTGTCATTTTTCTCCAAAGAGAGAGAGAGAAAGAGAGAGAGAGAGAGAGGGAGGGAGAGAGAGATAAAGAGAAACAGGCAGAGAGATGGAGAATCAGTATATTCGGGTGAAATTGGTGGAAAAGCTAGATGTGTGGAAGACTCAAGTGCTGGTAACACTGGGCTGTCTTTGATGCCTTCTCAAGTGACAGGAAAAGGCATACAAAGATAGCTAACATTGTGCCATATGTAGCACTAATTAGTGTGCCATAGTGTGCCCTCCACATCGTGCAGACAACGCATCCCTTCTCCGATTTCCATACTGAGAGTTCCAGCCCAAGGAAGCTCATCAACATGATCAAAAATGACATCAAATCCATCCACTAGAGTTGAACCATGTTGAACCACCACCACCCACTTGAATCCTGAGTGGGAAGAGAACCTGGCTCATACCTCCAGCTCCGCGGCACTGGCTTGAGAGGGTATCACAGCCACCTGTTCTTGCCAGGACTGTTGGATTGCAGGGGGTGACTGCGCCTTTTACTTGAAGGGAGTTGGGAAGCCCAAAGAGTTGATGAAACTTGGTCAGAAGCGAAACATAACCGACTGGAAGCGGGGGGCCAGTCATCGAAGAATCGCGGGCAAGACGAGGCGAGCCAGGGCCAGGCTGTTCCCATGATCCACTCGCTGGATGGGCCTAAAAGCCATTCCTGGATGGAACTGGTGGTATGACATTCAATCCAAGATGATGCAATGTATTGCAAGGTCACAGAGTCACAAAAACCTGCAGCATAGGTCTAGAGATGACAATAGGCTGAGTCTGACTCATGCCTCGATTCGTGTAGAGTCTTCAATGCAGACCCCGGCATTCGTCGTCAGACGTCATTGCTTTGTTTCCCCTATACTTACCGTATATAGGCGTGTCGACACCTGGCAGGTTGGCCTTCGAATCCAAGCAACGGAGCCGCTGAACCGCTGAACTCTTCGAAACGCAGCACGTCGAAGCAACGTGCGAAGCAACGCCCGTCGAACGGATTCGCGCCAGCAAAATCGCTTCTCCCCAAGGTGAAGCACCCCGTGAGCAAGGACTTGCGAGAGGAGGCAGGGAAGCGGCCAGTTTTTTGGGGCTTTTAGGCACCTCAATGGTCAGACTCGTGGACTTCTACATCGGAGTCGACCATTTCAAACCCATCTAGCAGACACAATCCGATCCATGGGACTGTAATAAGAGTATGCCCCAGAAGCCACCACATCCCCTTCGCACTAGATACTCCGGCCATGGTTTCACCTTTGGAGTTTTAGGAGTCGAAGAGACCAAAACGGCGGTTTCACCGACCGGAGTTTCAGGAGTCGATGGTCCGTCCAGTCGATGGTCGATGGACCTCCCATCATCCCACCTGGAGAGCGAAGAGAGTGAAGATCCGACCGGGAGGACGTTTCCCCCCGTGTTTTGGTGTGGCATCGTGCGTCCCAAGCCGACAGAGTGGGGGAGTTGGTCGGAAGTCTTGGTCGATGTTGGTCGGAGTTCTCCTAGACCAACTGTCAAAATATGTCAAAATAGATTGTGTATATAGGTAAAGGGACTGACCCAAACACAACTATTGTCATCTATTTCAATTTTGAACTATAATTTGTTTTCACACATGATGTCAGAATTGTTGGATGATATCACAAAGACAACGTTTGGCTGATCCCAACCAGCCATAGTTAATGGAGATTGGAACTGTATTTTGGCAGTCACTAGGTATATCAGTGGTTCCCAAGACTCAAGAACAGATTCATGCAGCAATGCACTTTGATGCACTTGTCGCCGATTTTTTTTGCCGACTGTGACCGCGAAACCCAAGCCGAACTTTGATGCACTTGTTGGTCTCTGTCAGAAGATACCTCGAACAATAGACGCACAGTAGTAGTCTTGATGATTGTTTTTTGCTTTTAAGGCTTAAAGTTTCTGTTTCATGCAGTAAACATCATGAGGTCATGTCAGCGGTTCACTAGCCCTTAGCCGTTCCGGTTCCTTCTGGGTCTGGCCGGACCTAGCTTTGTCAGGATGCCACGGAAGACAGGCATTCCCGGCGATGGGACAACGGGCGCCCATTGGGATGACCCACTGGTTGGTGGGTGAAGATTCCGGACAAGAGACCAACAGAAGCAAGCATCTTACGCCAACCACTTCGAATGTTCAAAATCCAGAACCAGGTTAAACATGGTTCAACTACGATACCATGATACTGTTACTGGTTGTGGTTGGTGGGCGCCTCCTAAAGCCTCCGATAGAGGACCAAAAAGGCGTGCCAATTATCATGCGGCTCCCTTTTGAGCTGTTACATGGCTCGAGGGACCCGATTTGGAGCCTTTCAGGAGTGGACCAAGAGTGAACAACCACACAGATTCAAAGGGGCTTTTCTTTGCCACCGATTCCGTTTATAAAGGTTAGGTCAGTGCCCCGTGCCCGGCAACTCGAGTGGCCGAGTTTCCTTGGACACCTGCAAATAACATCCTGTTACCCTCTTTGCTGACCTGGCTGCAGTGGTTTTCCTTCTGGCTTGGGTCGAGTCTCAGGGTCGAGTCGGGGTCCAGGTTCCTCCGTGTCGCGGGGGATTTGAAGCCGAAGGTGCGGCGTACGGCGGTCTGGCGTTTGGTCTGGCGTTTGTCGCGGCGTTTTGACCCGAGTGGGGAGGATGGGTTGGGGGTGCAGGTCTCGGTCGTTTCTGGCCACGCTTTTGCTTAGGAAGAGATTGAGATCTATAGTGATCCTAGGTGCAATGCTTTGTGCTTGGTGCTTGGTGACCATTAAGCATCATTATAAGCACACATGAAGGGGGCAGGATGCCGCCCTGCACGACCCATAGGTGCTTGTCATCTCAAAGCTTTTGTTCTCAATTGGAGGTAGAGTGCGCCCCTGCGTGCGTAGACTGTTTGACAGGGTTTTACCATGCGATCGGCGTGGCCGTTCATGACTGGGGCTGTGTGGGCTGGGTTGGATTCAGCCCAAAATCGGCCCACACCACATGCCAATGCCCTAAGGGATCCAGTCGTACCTTCTCAGGTTCGGTACGACTGGTGACTGGACCCTCCTGGCACCACACGCCGGTCCCACCTTCTGAGAAGATACGACTGGACCCCTATAGAAAATCTGATGTTTTGCGTTGCGCAATGTGCTCGCATGCGGCGTTACACGTTCCACGGACCTTTTCCGATCGAATCATTTGTTGGTTGAGCGGATGCCACTGGCGGATGCGGCGGCGAAGAACATGTGGCTTCAGGATCGCGTGGGCATCCTTGCTGAATGGTGCTAACCTCAGGATTGATATGTTCGTATGCGCCGAATCCACCAGCCAAGAAAGCGCAGAATCCACCTGTGCTCCTTCCCATCTCCTTCCACACCGCTGAACACGAGCGTTTTCACCTGTCGCCGCAGCCAGAATAGATCCATTTGCGACCCCGGCCGCTCACCACCGGCCCTCGGGCCTCGCCATGTGCGAACGACCCAAAATGTCGGACGTGGCAAAAGGCGAGCGTCGTCGTGCCGTCGCTGTGGGCCGTGCTTTGAGCGGTTGTGAACCATGGTGAACCACAACAACGCGCAAGGTTGAATTGGGCTTGGTGACCGTTGGTGGCTGGTTTATATAATGTCAACACCGGAATAATCAACGGCCACCCCCTTCAAGGTCAACAAGGTTTTGAGATTGGAGGTATTGGAGGACCACATCCCCCTAATAAACATGACCTGATGATGAATGATGAGATGAGGACCTGGACCTGATGATGGTTGATGGGATTCTGTGTCATGAGAGATTGAACCATGAGAGCCATGAGGGCTCTGAGTGTATTGGCACAAGTTTGATCAGAGATCAGATAGGATTCGATTGATCAGAGAGCCATGCCAATTGGATCATTGCATGTCAGAGCATGGAGGATGAGAAATGGGAGGTGGAGGCTATTTGTGGTGAGGGTGGATCCATGGACTGGATGGTCTGATGAGTGGTGACCTGTGGAGGACAGCATTGGAAAACCATTTGGCGATAGCATTGGAAAACAAGAATGAAGCCAGAGGGTGGGATTGATTAAAAGGGGGAGGGGGGTCCTACTATTGGGTGGAGGTAGGGCCTGTGTGAGGGCCCACTTTGTGAGCTGGAAAAAGTTAAGAGTTAGGGTTTTGAAAATGAAAGACTTTTGCTAGATAGTTTTTGGGGTTTGGGGGATGGTTGGTAGCGCGAGCACTGGGAGAAGCCATCAAAAAGATTGGTGAGCAGGATGAGGCAGTTGAGAGGTGGTGGTGAGAATCAGGAAGATGACGAGATGAAGACACCAATGCTATCTCTCAAACAGATTGCGTGAGACAAGGGTGGGTCAGAAGATCAGCTTCACCCTGGACCAGAAGATATTGGATACTAGCCAAAAAGAAAATAACTATAGTATACTATAGTAAACTATATTCTCTATTTTTCTGGGGCAGCTGGGATTGATTAATAGGGGGAGGCTTCTGCCCAGGAAAAATATATTAGGGGATATCAATCTACGTTATAAATTAGTTTGGTATTGGGGGGTCGAGCTGGGATTGATTAGTGGGGGGTCGTTATTTAATCGACTTAATCCTATGTCAACATCCATCTGTGTTGGAGGGTAAGGGGTGTTTGGGGCCTTGTGTGTGCTTGGATTGAGTCGTTGGAGATGTCGTTGATGTCGATTGATGTCCTTTGTGTGGGTAATGCCTTTGCTGTTTGTTTGACACCGAATGCTGGTCCAGTTTTTGATGAGCCGTAAATCACCTGGTGTTCCATGAATGTGGTAACCACAAAAAGTTGCCTTGACTTGACTGTCGAATATATATATATATATGTTATATATTATGTTCTACAATTAGTATCTTCATGTTTCTTCCAATCGCCCTATAGTCGAAAAAAGACAGGTGTGGACACACATGACACACCTCCTCCTTGGCACGGCCATGTGTGGAGGACGGTTTCTTGCGACGACTCACCGCATCGAGCCCTCCGTGGATCGCTCATTCGCTCGGTCAGGCTTGGGTGTGACGCCCGAGAACAGATCGGTGCGGCAGAAGGGGGGCATGACTTGGGTGGTGCCTGGCATATTTTTGGGCAACAAGCACTTTGGCTTCGAAGAGTATTTTTTGTTGTTGTTGGTTGTTATAATTGTTGTGATTATCCAGTGATGTGGCAAACGAAATTCTTCAAAATATCACAAGTCCAAAGTCAATCAAAAACCATCTGGTCACATGGAACAGAAACCATATGGAACAAAGTGCATATGGAACAGGGCGATAGGTATATATAGGTACCATAGGTACATGGCAGTACCATATGGTCAAGGTATCAAGATATCACCTTCGCCCAAAGTACACGGCCACATGGTCACATGCAGAACCCGTCCGATCCGTCCAGCTCCGATCCGTTCGGTGTGGACCTTTTCGGCGGTGTGCTCCCGGTAGGAAGAAAGATCCGGTTTTGAACGAGACGACCTCGCCAGGGGGGTGTAGGTTTTTGTTGTCGGTGATGGTTGTCATATCATTTTCTGGAGGGGAGGGGGGTACGTCAGGCTTATGAAGCCCCGGCGCAGCAAAGAAACCCGAGTTGCTTCGACATGTATATACATGGTACCCCCCAAGACCCACCTTTATATATATAGATACAAACGATATGCTGCATATGATATTTTTATACTTGGGTTTCGAGACTCAGAGCAGATTGACGTATTTGGTCATGCCCAAGTATGACCGACTTATGTTTCAAGTCTGACAAGTGGGGACCCCTGTATGTCTCAAGTCTGGCAAGTGGAGCCTCAAGTCTGGCAAGCGGAGCCTCTTGTCAATCTCAAGTCTGACAAGTCCTTCTTAGTGGATCCAAGATCTCAGATTTCAGGAGAGTCTTGGCCCAGCAGGCCCGTCTGGATCCATGGATCCAAGATTTCTGGGCTAAGATCCTCCTGAAATCTTGGATCCATGCATCCAAGATTTCTGGGCCAAGACCCTCCTGAAATCTTGGATCTTGGATCCAGGAGACCCGCCTGGATAACTCAAGTCTGAGTGAGCGCCAGCACTTTCCACACTTGAGGCGCATTGACAACAATGCACGTCAGACTTGAAGTTTTGTTGGTTACTGCCTTTTGCCGGACTTGAGGTGTCCTTGCTAGCACATGCCGGGCCTAAGGGCACTGCCAGCAGCAACGTCGAAGCACTACAGCTAAGGGAGGATTAGGTGACGAGTTCCTTTACACCTGACCATGCAAGTTTGCAAGCTTACACACACGCAACAACACTTGCTTGTTTTTGCAGTCCATCTTGGTTGTCTGCATTGTGATTGAGCCATGCCTGACACTTTGGCGATCAGCTGGAACCCATCATACCCGCAGCCGTCTTTGTGCTCTCGGAACTTCTCCTTAGCAGTGGTGTGTCGCGGTGAATATGTCCATTCCGGCGAGCGGACAAGTTTCTTTGGATGGCAATCGCGCTTTGCTCGTTCTGACTGTGAATTAAGAAGCCCCGCAGTATGGAACAGAAGCCCTGCAACGGTTGCTTGAGCAAGCTATGCGCGGCGAGGTCCCCATTCACCCGTCACGCGTGCCAATACAACGAAAGCATTTGGCGGCAATCATGCGCAATGTCCAGCGATCGCTAGGCTTGCAACCAGTGGCTCTTTGGTGGGTGGAGCCAGGCCGCGCATGAACGGGCGATAGCAATCCTGAAAAAGTCCGAAAGTGATCCGCGCTATTCGCCCAGTTCTGAAAGCCTTACCGGCTCCACCACCTGTGCCTTGTCGCATGAAACGGGTTCCTCTGATATCGGGTAAAATCCCTATAGTCATATAGAGTCATACCCATTCACACATTTGAGGAACGTGATATGTGTATCAGTCTACACGTGTTGGTTGCACTTCCAGAATATATTCTGTGAGTTCTGTCAAACTCACACCCTGCTGAGGTATTGGCTTTGGAAAAAGAAGTCGGAAGATTTTCGGCGAACGATTATTCCAGGGATTCTTCCAGTGATTCTTCCAGTGATTCTGAGGAGGAGGTGGGCGACACACATCCACCACCGCAGATTGAGATACAGCATTTGGTCTTGCGGGACTCAAGATCAACGTCCAAAACGGTGGGTCTTGGGGGGGGTTAGCATATATATATGTATATAATATATATATTAATATATATGTGTGTGTGCATCGTTTGGATGGAACGATTGTGGGATCTCAAAAAGGAGCTTTGTTCGATGCAACCTGTGATTTGTAGGCCCTTTGGTGTTGAACAGCTGACATTACAACGGTATAAGTTAACCGTCGGTGAACAGTTATCACTATTTTAGAGAAAGGCCTGCAACCTAATCGTCATCATCCACTGTTATTGGCAATAGAGAATATACCCAAACTTTACAATTTGCGCAACCTTCTTGCTGGTGGGGAATCCGAGGCAAGCTGCTGCAGATGTGGCTCACTTAGAGCAGTCCAGAGTGAGAGCGGTGGTCTCGGTGGGTGCCAAACCTTCCATGGCCTTTCCGTGTCACTATGTCCCAGTGCAAGACAATGGATCAGACTCCATGTTGCCTTTCCTGGATGAAGCCTGTGACTTCATTCACCAACATCGAAAGATGGGCTCAGTGCCTTGGTGTGAGATGGGCTCGGCTCGTTGGGCCTTCTTCAGTTCGTGACCGAACTGGATTTTCAGGTCACTTCGGTCATTTCGGTCACTTGGGCCTGTCACGGATGGGATGGAACTCCAAAAAGTCACGAACTGAAGAAGCTGGAGGAGATCGGTTTTTTTAGTTTTCCCATCCTTTCCCCTGTCGTTTCTTCCCGCTATCATACCTCGAACAATCTGAAGAACATGTCACTTTCTCAGGACAGGCAAGTTCGTTTGTTTTCAATTTTTCTTCAGGTGCTGGTACATTGCAAGGGCGGCATCAATCGTTCGCCATGTTTGTTGGTGGCCTACTTGATGAAGTACGAAGATCTTTCACTGGGCGAGGCCCTGAGCCTCGTCGCGGCGGCGCGCCCCGCCGCCCACTGCCCATCCAACTTCCGGAAGGTGCGTGAATTCATGTGGGGAAATAGATGACCAGAGCATCAGAAGCACTGCCCTGGGGCGGTACCACTAGAATATGATAGAAACATATAGAAACATCTTGGAAGACTAGGGGAAAGACACTATGATATTATTTTTAGACATACAACAACATATGTCTACAATGAGTCTACAACGAACAACCCCCCTTGATTTGGTTCGAAAACAAGACACGAAGCATTCCATTCGATGAAGTTCGGCAGGATTTGCAGAGCTTTGCGGCCCAGCTGCGCCCAGAGACGGAGCCGTACTCGGCGGATCCTGGTTCACCAGTTCCCAACGAGAGCCATGTACAGTGCACAGAGATTCGGGGAACTCCAGATCTGCCAGAGGCGTCTGAGTCTAATTGAGATCCTTTACTTCGAAGGTGATCTCTTGGATGAATCGACGTCCTGAAAAAGAGCTGCCAGTGCAAGGATTTTTGAGTCCTACAGCAGATGGAGTAGCAGATCGCAGAACCTTTCATGAACACATCGGCGCTAATCGGTGCTATTTGGTTTTCTGACACCTTGGAGATCTAATGAGTGCATGTAAGTTAAATCGCAGCCAGTTGTGGCACGGATTGTATGATCGTTCGGGGAAGAAGGGACAAGAAACTTCCTAATTAGTGTGCAGCAGGGCCATAGCCGCAGCAAGAATTGCATCGTAGCAGCCAGCTAGTACGCTGGTAGGTGGTACCACCCAAAAGGGTGTTTTATAGAGGCTAACGGTTACTGTATGTTTATGAGGTATGAGCTTTGACAGCAGGCTGGCGGTGTTTTTCTTTCGCATGCTCAGATTTCATCAGAATTTCACGCGGGTTCCGACTGGCCTGGTCTCCCACGTGGCTTTGGGGCTGAAGCCCGACTGTTCACGTTCAGGTGTTTTTGTCCTTTTTTACGGCGTGTAATTTTTGAACGACCCCATTGCTATATTGAATTTCGTCAACTGTGTCCGTTGGTCAAAGGCTTTTCAACGCAGCTACTGAGTTGTGGAGGTCTAACGGGTGTCCACTGAGTTGCCTTCAATCTACACTTGATTGAATATTATCCTATTCTCGGCGGGATTTACCCATGGCTGACTCTCCTGCTTATCACGATAGCTGCTATCACCACCAAGAGATTGCTGGAAATCTTTTGAGAGAATTGATTCGAGGACCGTCGCAGGGGCATAGATGAGTAGAAAGCGCATCCATGAGTTGTTGGGTATGTTGGGTTTCTTCCTGAATGAAGAGGGTGAACAGGCACCTTTCCAGATTTGGTCAGGGCCAACAGCTTTTCTTGCTAGGAACAGCTAGCATACATGCTAACATACCTGGGCTGATGTTGAGCAGGTCGTACGCAGCACATACCGAGGTCAGGCAACTTGTCGTTGTTTCTCAATGGTCAACCTGGCTCGTTGCCAAGAGGATCCCCAAAGATGACAACAGGAAGCGAGCTGCCTTTCAAGTGAACGTGGCTTGTCAAACACCATATTAGGGCTATTGAAATATGAGCAGAAAATCCCTACAAGTCCAACGACCCAGGAATACCTGTTCCTTCTTTCTCTATGACCACATCCAAATAAATCAGAATCCTTGACTTCGTTAGAAATATATGAGCCCATCCTGATGTTTCTTTCAACATGATGTCCTTCAGATCCAACTCTCTTCTCTTCTGAACATGTCCATTCGATCGGAGGGGCCTCATTACCAACCGATCTCATGTTCTGAGACCATGGAAGGTGCACATGTGGTGGATTCATGCTGGATTCGGCTCCCTCCCTATTTGTTGGGAAAAAAACACCACGAGACTGTCGGTCTTGCCTTCCTTTTGCGAAACAAAACGTGGCCGAGGTATGCCGTGGCCGATGTCCAACGGTTTCTCGTGGGCTGTGGAGTTTGCCCCGAGTGAGCAAGAGATGGCATCATGAAAGAACCCAAAGCTTTGAAACCTGTGGCAGCAAGCTCTTCGACAAGCAAGCCTCTTCTCAATACCAAGACCCAGGTTCTCCTCCCCCCAATAAGTAGCCATTTCAGCTTCAAGATCCATCAAGACTTCTTCAATCCTTCGTTCAGCTCGCCCCCCAAGGCTTGAACGATCTCGCCCGTCCCCCTTCGCCAGGTGAGCGGGTGGGCCGCTTCGTTTCAGCCATTGATCCCATCGAGGCCCCGGACCATGCGGGGGCTTCTGTGATGGTCAAAGAGCACCACTCGATGGTGTTAGAAATTGTGTCAAAGGTACAAACAAACACACATATGCATACAATTAATACATAACACTAGTATAAATACATGTACGTTGATATTTGGAGTGATTGAAATCCACCAATACCACTTTTAAACCATCATTTTGTCCTATTGAAGTCCCCATCACAGTGGTCAGCTTCAAAAGGCGTCATTTGCACGGTGATGGATCAATGGAATTTGTTGCAAAGTGATGGACTGGTCCATTGGCGACGCCCAGCTTGATGCAACCACCAATCAGAGATGCTGTAAAAGCACCAGAGAGCTACCGCAGTTTTTGAATGGTGAGATGGCCAATGTAACCAGCGTGTTCTGTTGAGACTGGTGTTCCAAAAATGCGATCGCTCCCAAAACAGTCTAAAGGGGCAGTGGGAGTGAGCTGCGATCACTCTACTTGCACTCAAATAATTCAATAGATCCCCTATATCATATCAACATAATTATCCCCCAGAAGTCCAAAGACGATGTTTTGCCCACTGAAATAAAGGATGTTCCTCATTGGGATCACCATGGCTCATCTAAAGACCTACAACATGGTTTGCCATTAAAGACCATCTATGGGATCACGGGTTCCTCATGGATCACTTTAAGACCATCTATGAAATGCCAGTCAATTGGACTTCCAAGGTACCCACAGGTCTTGGACTTCCGACCAGAAACCCCTCCTCTTCGCCCCTCTGCCCTCCTCCGTCGTTGAAACAAAACCCACCGGCGCCCGTTCTCGTCCGACTCTAGGGGGCTCGGGCCGCGCGCATGGGATGCGCGGCGGCTGCGGCGCTGGCAGGTGATGGCTCCGCTCTATGGCATGGCGGACATCCACGTGCGCCAGGTGGGGCGAAGGAAGAAAGCGGAGGGGGAGAAAAACGGATTCCAGGTGGTTGCACGGGGGGGGAAGGCGAGGTTGAGGTTGAGCAGTGGGTGGGAGAACATGGGTTCAGGTTGAGAAGTTGGCTTTGTGCAGATATCGGTAAAATATCGGATGTGTTTGGGACATCGCACATGTGAATCCCATGGGGAACCTAGATACAGCTGATGGAGAAAGTCCTTAATTGGGATACCGGGATACCTTAATAAGATAAACACGGGCTTTTTCGACACTGGGTTGAGCAACCCAAAGCATCAACCCATCGGTCCACCTTCACCCAGGACTTGGAGTTCAGCGACCCTCCAAACAAAGACCTTGCCCAACCATTACACCACCACTGTAGATGAAAAACCACTCAAGTAATTCCTGTGACGATGACCAGCGTCATAGGACACATCCCATTATCGAACGATGCTCCTGTTCCCTCAGTCTGGGGCAACCAGACCAGACCAGATGAATATTTGATGCCATGATGACCTACCTTTGATGATCCGCCTACTGGCGATGTTTTGGACGGCCCGTGACTTCAAACAGACCAACATCCAATCATCTTCACCAACCCCCACTGATCTCAATGCCTCATCCCCCGAACAACGAACCACCCCACATCCACCGCGGAGTACACCTCGCGGGGCGACATCACCGCGCGCCGCAACGGACAGTTCCGCCCTGTTCAGTACCATGAGGCCTCGGAGGAATACACCGTGCGGTCGATCAGCTTGGTGGAGGAAAGTCAGAGCAGCCAAGGCGGACTAGAGCTGACCGACATGGTTATAGGTTGGAGGCCATCGCTGTAAGGGTGGAGGCCATCGCTTGTAGGGTGGAGGCCAGTCCAAGACTGTCTTTTGGGAAGCTTTTTGATCAGCATCTCCTTGTTTTGCTGCAGGTGACCCAGAACAAATGCGGAGAGCAGCCAATGAGCAACAGCCTCAGAGGTTCTTTGTCACTAGACTCCTGCCTGATGAGACAACCTAGCAAAACCAAGTAACAAAAGTAACAACCCTGCATCCTCCCCATGTCTTTAGATGCCTTCCGGCCTTGCATGTTTTGGGACGATCTGGCAGTCTGGCAGGGATGAAATTGAGGTAGGTAGGTGAATGCCTCCAGGTGGACCCTACTGAACAGTTCTGGATCCCCAAGTGGTGAGCAAGAATTTTGAGACACCGTTGGTACCTGGGGTGCTGGTGGATAAGGACATGCAGCACTTGGAAACTGCTATTCAAAGCAAATCATGCTTCGCAGGGTTGCATCTCCTGCAAACTCCAAAAACATGTACACAGGTGTCCTGGAAATCATCTCCTGTAAGACCTAAGGGTGGGAATAGCTCATGAACACCCCAGAACGTGGGAACCATTTTTGTGGGTCCAGCTGAATGTTGATGTTGCTGTGCTTGTTGTGCTTCTTGTATGTTGTATGTAGTAGTTTAGTAGCAGTAGCAGTAGCAGGAGTAGAAGTAGTAGTAGTAGTAGTAGTAGTAGTAGTTGTTGTTGTTGTTGTTGTGGTCGTCGTCGTCTACAAAAAATCAACTCATGGCTGTGCCTCGTCCGGACCGGACCGGGGGGGATGCTCCGGCCGACCTCCGGAGGACCTCCGTGGCTCCCGGCTCCACACGAGGCTGGCCAACATCCATCACCATCTCCATGGCGAAGCGGCCGTTTCGACCACGAGCCTTGGCCGTCGAAAGCAGTCTAACGGCCCGGTATGAAATGAGACAGGTCCACAGGCTAGGTCGACAGGAGGGGGCTATAACATCGCAGGTAGACCAAAGGAAACTGTAGACTTGCTTGGAGCTGAATCCAGCGTTGAACACTGGGTGAACTTGGTCTGTTGGTCTGGCATTTGGAACTGGACACCACTCACCCATCGCACACCGGGCACCGAGCCCAACGCGTCGGGCTCCAGACACCGAACCGAAGCACCGAGGATCGGCCCCTCCTGCGACCTCTATGCCTGTGGTTCGCCCTGGCGGTGTTCGGGAAGTGCGTGGAAGGGTGTTCCATCTGTTCGGGTGGAAGGGAAGGGAAGGATCTGAACCTGGGGGCTAGAACCGGGGTTGGTTTGGTGGCGTTGGTTTGGTTTGGCGATTTTGAGGACGAACTCACACGGAGGGAGGGGAGATATATCAAGTGCTTTCTTGAGATGAGCAAAGGAGAGGATGGGATGATGGAATTCGCTGTTCTTTTCGCCAAATAAATGCAATTCAAATAACAGCCACAAATCCACAAAAACTATATACAAAGCTATTCCTTTGTGGGGAAGAGCAGATTAGGCTAGCAAATCACGCTGATTGAATGGGTGATGGGGAAAAACATAATCATATATTTTACATGTTGCCAAAGAGATTTGGGATGCACTAGCGTATGGGAAATGGCGTGCCTCCTCCAACTTTACATATACATCCAAGAAACAGAGCACGTTTGTAGGACAGCTTCATGAAACATCAAGCTCAATCATCTCTATCATCTCTACTGAACAGAGCGTTTCCCACGTGTTATATAGATGAACACGTGGCAGCACAGCTGTTTCGTCACGTGGCCAGGCCGGATTCTGCTGAGCTGCTTTCGTGGTGGTTGTGAGATCATGCCATCTCTGAACCTTGACAGGCCTGGTCAACCCCTTACGGCCTGTCGCCAGCATACGTCAACAGGGTGAACGTCCAAGCAAGCTAGGAGAGAAGTGAGTCAGAGAGGAGCTGCAGATGGGTTACCGGAGATCTCACCTTCGAGATGAGCATGTGTTCAGTCCCAAGGTCTACAAAAAGTTGCCGGGGTCAACTCTTCCTGCAACGTTGGGGAGCTAACTTGGGATACACAACTTCCTGCAACATGAATCATATTGCAACCTCATGGCGTAAACACTAAGAATCAGAGGAAGGCTCGCTGAGAGTGCCTGTAGCTCGTCATCTTCTGGGAGGTAAGCTGGGAGTGTGTGGTTCAGGATTAGTTCTGTGATTGCTAACCCCTTTGGCCCCGCCCTGAATTCTCTGTTCCGATTTGCTTTTGTGAAACTCTATCAATAAGCTGCCGGACACCCGCTAAGCTGCACACTCGCTTGCACCGCTATCCATCCATCCATCCATCCGGACTCCCCATCCATCCGGCTTTGGTCGTGTTTGCTTGTTCTCACTCTTCGCCGATTCGTATCGGATCACCAGTTTCCAAAGGGTCCAACAGACCAAAGACACTAGTCCTACTTCAGTAGTCCTACTTCCAGTAGTCCTACTTGTCTTCTGTAGTCCATGGTAGTACTTCCATCTGGGCAACAAAGGACACCGCGGGTCGCGGACCGCGACCCTGGGCAGGTTTGCTGTGGCCTATGCGGACTGGGTACGCGCAGGGCCAGGGCACCCAAGGAAAGCGTTTCTGTGGGATTCTTTTGTGGCAGGATGCAGGGGACACCAGAAAGAGGTTATAATGAGATTGGACATGAGATCCAATATGATTCAGATCCCATTTTGATATCCATTTTGTGTTTTGAGTATTTTGGGGAGACTTCCAACATGTGTTTTCCAACGTTTTCATCATCGGTTCAGCTGTGCTTAGATTGGCTTTGGCATGCTGTTACAAGTAAGCGACATACTTGGGTAGCACAAGACAAGGACCCACACCGCAGGCTCTTGGGAAAAGCTGGCCAAAGAAGCCAGCCATCGAAGGAAATCTGGAAATTGTGAAAGTAGAAGCTGGATTGGAAAGACTGAAAAGCAACAGCAAGCGCGAAAGTCTGCAAGAATGAACTGGTGAGACCTGACTTGTGGCTACAGATCGATGCTTTGCTACACACTTTTCCTCCCCACCTCATGGGTGGATCAATTGGACCCAAACAAAGGGATCTCACTCAGCTTCCTCAGCCTCGACTGCCAGATCTCACGGAGCCCCGAACCCTGGATCCAAACCGAGGTGCCCCTCGACCGAAGAACGCTATGGTCTTCTGTGGGCCCTCAAGGAGACGAAACGAGCCACACACAGCGCTGGAACCGCTTGTCTGTCTGTCGAGACAGCGCGAGACGTGTGGGTGCGTTCCGAAGCGCTGTACTCGGTGCGGGAGTATACTCTGCACAGTCTCCGTGTCGAAGGTATGCATATCTCGGACGACATAGCTCCGATGGGTTTTGGACCCCAGTCGACTGAACGAAGCAACGCTTCCGGTGGCGATCGCAAGAACTCCTTTTGGCTTTCTGTGAATTCCCTGTGCGCACCTGCGCACCATGGCCGACATAGCTCTGCCCCAGGCTCTGAAGGTTTGCTTTCACAGCGGCGACTAGATGCAGAACAAGGGAAAACAGCTAAGTCTATCTACCAGCACCACCCAGTTCGGGTGGTTGTTAGATTGTGGTTATACCCCACCGAACTGGGTGGTGCTGGACGTTACGGTCGAATGCGTCACGCGACGTTACGACACGAGGACGACGATCCCGCAAGACCGCCGTCCTCGTCCGTTCACCGGATCTGGAGGAATTTTTCTGTGCGGAGGTGGCAATCGCAAAGGAAACGACGAACACAGGAGAATTCATGGTGTAAGCAAAACCAATGAAACCAATGACTTTCGTTTTCTGGAAAGAGGAGAGTTCATGTGTTTTCACGACCTTCCAAGCACCAAAAGCCCTCGTTTTGCCACAAAGTAAGCCCTTTGTAGAGTCGCTGAGGAGCTCAAGAATGAGAAGACCGAGCGCAGTGAGGAGATCCTGCAAGTGGAGAAGATGGAAGTGCGACTTCTGCTCTCCAGGTGCATCAAGCGATCCAGGCGCGGCTTTTCGAACGCAGGAGAACGGGAGACGAGACGAGAGATCTGAAGCCTCGAAAGGAAAGGACCCCGGAGCTTTCGGTGCGAAGAGCAAAAGCATTGGGGGCGTATTATTCGGGGTCGATGTGCAACATGATGTGGAACATTTGGCAGAGGTATTCGCGATTGGGAAGCTGTTGGGAAGCAGCTGAGATGTTGGCGCAAGCGTCTTGCTGGTGCGAGGCTTAGGGGACTTCCATGGCTAGAAATGTTCATGTCACACCTGTGACCTATCTTTTTCTGTTTGCCAAAGCTTACTATTTGTCCCTTGCTTCAGACGTAGTAGTCTGTCTCCGCGCAGATTGAACGTCTTGCTGATTGTGTACTGTAAGAAGAACCACCCACACTGGTGGGGTCAGATGACATGTTGAGAAGTTCAGAAGCCCATGGAACACGGAAGTTCAGAATCCTGATAGTGTCTCCTGATGTTCACGGGAGCGGAAATCGGACACCGAAAGACCATGTGGAAGACATGAAGACAGTCGCGCTATAAGGCTCGGCATGACGGAAGAATTCCTGACATCTCACAAAGTGGCCGTGGAACAGGCCGCGTCAGGGGAGGATCCTGTGTAGGCCGCATCAGTTGCATGGGGAGAGCGATGTTTGGCATAGCTGCCTCCGAGATGTTTGGCACAGTCTTGAAAGGATGGAATTGGTGAGCTTCATAGATTGAACGCGACTCCCTAGATTCTTCATGGTTTTTGGACTCCCAATTCGGGGGTGTTCACTATATGGACTGTGCCCCAGACAAGTAGTACCCAGACACTCCATGTCTGTGACTCAACATTCACCAGATTTAATCCCCTTTCGACTTCAAGGCTGTCATCCTTCGTCCTCCACGTGCTGTTTTCTTCGTTTGTGGTCCTTGGAGTCAGGCGAAGCGCGCCAGTCTGCTGGATGCACACTATTCTGTGGCCCAGGAACTCTTTGAACAGGTGCTCGCCTTGGGGCGCGTCTTGCGGCAACATCTCCGGCGTTCTGGGGAGGGTGCAAAAGCCCAACATTTGCGGTCTTGGCTTCTTATGGCTTCTTTGGGGGGTTCGGCAAGCGGTTACCCAGCATGGCAAACATGTTAAGAACCCAGCAAGATGTTATATAGAATGTGTATCAGAATTAGAATTAATAATTAGAATGGGTATCAAGATGTTATATACACAACAGTCATGATCGAATAATATGTTAATATACATTGTATTACATCTGCTTGTTTATTACCTGTGTATCAAGATGTTATATAGAATTTGGATCAGTGACCAGAGTTTGGTGTTGCAAAGTTGTGATGTGGACTAGACCCTTTGCAGCGCTTCTCACTTTCCCAAGACTGATGTCATCACTACTCAGTTCTCGGAGACGTCTTGGTGCTAATGAAAGTCGTTTTTTCACGTCAAAAAACTACAACAAACATGCCGAAACGGACTCCTCTTAGGATTCTGGGAGGGTCTCCGAAGTATCTGGATGTTCACACATATCCAGATTAATATCTTACATAATATATGTATATAATGTGTGTGTGGGCGCCGATCAGGGGGCTTTTCGGGGCCAAAGTTCTTGAAAATACTAAATCAGCGCTGTTCAATATATCTATCATATTTGATTTGAAACCACCTTCGCACTGCAACTCCTGCTTCATTTCCAAAACACTCTGTAAGAAACCAAAGGTGGAGTGTCTTAGCGCTGTACTTATACGTGTTTCACGCTTTCTCTCTTTCTTCCTTCATGCATGTGTTGCTCGTCCAGCTGAAAGGACGCTGTACTTTTTTCACTTTCTGCTTATTGCCTTATTTATCTCTTTTCTTCTTGTCATGTGCAGCTAACAGATGCTGCAAATGTGTCACTGTTTATCCTTTCTTTGTGTTTCTTTAACTTGGGCTTTCTTTAAGCTGAGTTCACCAGCTGCCATTAAAGGCTCAACTTTTGCCATTGCCTGTCTTCCTTATCCCGGATTGGTTAATGCTCAACATTGTTTGTGGGGAGTTACTCTGAGCATGCTCCTAAAGGGGCGGATTAATCCAGCAGCTATCTTGCGGCTTGTGCGAAGCCTACACAACGCCTCAGCACGTTCGGTGCGGGCAGATTTGGTCATTCGTCCTCTCTCTCCAGGAACGGCGGCAGCTCAGGGAGGACTCGTCTGCCAGGGCTCGGGACCTTCAGAATCCGCGACAGCCATTGGTCTGCCGGATGTGCCGCACCTGCAGTGTGTGCGGGCCAGTCATGAAGCTTTTACTTTGCCCAAACAATCCACGTGTGGAATGCTTTGCCATACACAGGTGCTTTTGGGCCCAATGTAGATATTCACCTACATCATCAAGGTGATTTTTCAGGTGTTTCAGGGGTCATTGTAGGTGTTTCAGGAGTCTGATATTCCACACATGGATGGTTCTAGGTGTGCCTGGCCTTAGGTTTTCTTGGCCAATGGTTGGAGGAACGAAATAGTAGACTTTGCTGCGTCTTCCATTGCACTCTACTGACCGCTCTTGGCAGAAATCGGAACTGCTTCCCCACCTTCACCCTCAAGAGCTATCGTGTTCAGAGTCAAGTCCACCTGGCGATTTGAGAAATCTTGATGATGGCAGGTTTGACGGATGACACCATGGTTTCAACCTACAGCCAAGCAAAATGACATGATGTTGTTGATGACCTCATGTTACAACAAAAGCCACTGAGCCCTCCAGTAGTCTTTTTCGGTATTCCATCGATCTGTTTGTCTTTGGCGTCTTCGACCGCAACCAGTGGTCATACAGACTTGTTTTTTCTTTTGAACGACCCAATGCCAATTGTTTCTTGTATTTTGGACTTTATCTCCTGCCCTTACGCCTCCGTGAAAGGTGCCTCGCATCCACCCCAAGGCAGAGGCCGCCCAGCAGGTGGCAGAAACCCATCAAGTGGAAGGTGCCGCATCGCTTGGGGCTGCTGGGGCTTTGGTCACGGCCATGGGCGACGTTGTTGCACTCCTTGGAGTCCTCTTGGTTTCGCACGTGGATGAAAAATTACCCTGGAAGGATGACCATGAAGTCCGAAGACCAAACCGTTGGTGAACTCCACTTTCATGCGATTATTCCAGAGTGTATATATATGTTTGTTCTTCTTTGGATATGCCCGCAAGACAAATAGTTTGTGCTCAGGTTGTCCCACCGGCCAATTCCACACACTTGAGGTGTCGCTCCGGAAAGAGAAGGCAGCTTGTGACGACCGCCTCTAAGATCTTGACCAGGAAGGCCCATCCATCCCGGTATTCCCACGGGTTTGGTCTGCTTCCGCTTCCGCACCTCGGCAGGTTCGTTGGTCTCCGCGCGATGGAACTTGCGCGCCTTCACCATCGGGCCGCCGCACATCCGGCGCATCATCCAGGCGGAGCTGGGACGGCGGAAAGTGGGCTTAAGTGGTTCGGCTGAAAGCAGTGGTGCGTGAAAGTTTGGGTTGCGTGGTGCGTGAGGTGCGTGAGGTGCTTGAAGGAATGGTGCATGGCCTGCACATCCTCTCCCTATCCAGTCAGTGGATAACGTTTAACCTTTTAGGGGGATTTGTTTCCTAACTTCACATGAACAGGTGGATAAAGGCTAGCTTTTATTTTCCGGAACAGCGGCTTGGGAGTCAGTCTTTATGCATGTCCTAGTGTGCAGGTCGTGGTCGATTCATTTCGATTCCACGGTTCCAATCATGATTTGAATGTTAGCAGTTGTTGTTCGGAGATACGTGTCATTTCTCCTAGTTTCCAGCGCTGAATCAGAGCATCGTCTTCCGAACTTTCTACAGGCCAAGCTGCGGTTCAAGGTGTTTTCATTGAAATTTGGACATTGGAACGTGGGAATTTGTTGAGCTTCTTGAAGCATCACACGATGGTTCTCTTGTGGCCCAAGGCAGCTGCATGTTGCTGCCAGCTGACTGCTGTATTTCTAGATGCAAACATTCAAATTGGGATTGATGGAGTTCCCCACTGGGGGGTAAGGGGGGTTCAATCCCCCGCATGGCCCTCAGCTTGGTTTGATTATGGTTGATCACACTTTGTTGAACCTTTAACGCGACTCGTGGATGCTGGGCTTGCAATGCAATGAACATGGATCAATTAACATCTCCATTCGTGGTTTTCTGGGATATGCATAATATGAATATAATAGACGAGTCTCATAAGGACTACTACTGTAATGACCACACCTAGATCCTGCGACTGGACATCCTGAACCCCGTGACTAGTCCGACGACCCATTCATTCAGTTGTAGTTGTAGGTTGAGAACCTATTTCGCTGGGTTTTGCGCTGCTCCAAACGCCATGGAGGACAGTGCCAGGAGAGCATGACGGGGACAGCATTGGCATAGCCGAGCGTGTCCTCGAACGGGTGACTTACTCAAACATCAAGGCTGAAAGGAACAGTACTCAGTAGGTGATGTAGGCAAAGTGAGTGGCGCTCCCACCACTGAGTCATGGACACTAAACTTTACCGTAGTATTTGTTTCAAGTACCTGACTTGCTTGCGGATGGTATACCGCAGAAGGTGTCCATCACACTTGCCAGGGCCAAACAACGTCATGACTGGGCTCACTGCCAACAAAGCAAATTATGAAGTTTGAGGAGTGAACTAACGGTTGCCACCAAGTTTCCTTACACCATAAACCAACCAATAAGCAAGGTCACCATGTAGACTCAACAGATGATTCAGATTTGCCAAGTCTTCAATTTGCATCCCATTTCGGATGAAGGTCGCCACTAGAGGTGGTGAATTCAATCGTTGAAACCTATAGAGGTCGTGCTTACCCCTTGAAGCATGGCCAAGGCAATGCTTTCAGATTCTCGGGCAACTTGGTGATCGTTTTAGTGCTTCGAGCGGACAGGTGTTGGACAGGGCAAGTCTCCATCCCTTGGCAGGAGCGATTGAAGGTGGTCTTGTGGGGTCTTGCAAACTGGAACATGTCCGGGATTTTCCACCAATAAACATGATCTACGAGGTCATTGTTGTTTTCGCGGCCTCTGGATGTGATGCAGCATGACGAAGGAAGGAAGAGCAACGTGAGCAATGCCAGGTGGTTGGGATCATCACTGATCACTCCGAAATTCAGATGCTGGTTTGTGTTGCTGTTGACATCTTTTGAATCACTTGCCACATCAACAGCACAAAACTTCAGTCACCATTTGTCCCTTCCTGTTTCGATCCTTTTGGGCAACTCCAACAAAAACGCATCTCATGCACCCGCGCGCCCGCGCCGCGGTTGACCGCGCACGCCTGACGGAGCAGAGCCGCTAGTGGTCGAGCCGAAGCGTGTGGAATGGTCAGGTGAGATCCAAGAAGTATCAGCTCCTGGAGACCCAGACCGATTCGCTTGTCGGTGCCTTTGAGGTGGGAAGAGAGCGCCAAGGGCCGCTGGCTGAAACTGCGGAACAGCGTTTTGGGGGAGAATTTGTGAAGGGGAGTTAGGGTGTGTTTTGGAGACTAGCACGCGCTGGGTGGACATGGGTGGGCTCTCTTTTCTGAGCAGCTTCAGGTGAATAAAAGATCAATGTTTGCCAGATCATCCACGATCGAAATATTAAAGGACATCTTCACCTCGGTTCAACTTACAAATATCTGGCTTGGGTCTGTCCTATTGCCTGCAACAGTCGGTAAACAAGCAAATCACTGTTTTGTGTTAGGCCTCAAGGCCTATAGCATACTAAAGCCAGTACTAAAGCCATGGTCATCCACTGAGCCCTGTTAATAGGAGAGATCCAAGAGGTTTTCTCTTACGACCAACTCTCGTGACTGAACTCTCGTGACGCCTTCTCTCTCGCCACGGGGATCCGGTCCAGGCCTCGCCTTCTTCTGTGCTGTGGGGCGAACTCTTTACGGAGAAGGACGGGGAGAGAGGAAAACCGGAGAAGAACCACCGGTGGTGTGGCAGTGGCATGTGGCATGTGGGTGTGTTTTCTGTTTTAAACACCAATCGGTGATTTCACGTTGAATATTGGTGACTTCGAAACCGATTGCAGCCATGAATGTGGACCGTACCAACCAGCGTGACTTCCAAGTCATGTCATGGTGTCCCAGAATGGAACATGCTTAATTCCTTAATTTCCCACTTGGGAAGCAGTTTCTTACCGATGGTCTTCGTCAGAGATTCTTTTCTGTTCTCTGATGAAAAGGATCGCATTTTCCTCAGACAGCACCTCGAAGATGGCAGCTTGTCCTTCGGAGCGAAGTGCCTCGTCTTTACAGAAAAGATCCATGGAAACACACATATTCATGGAATTCTTGATGCTCAAAGTACCTCTGAACATATTGCTATAGATGTAGCGCAGGGTATTTTTGTTGGCCAGAGTTGAGGTTGATAGGGTCACTTTGGTGTTGAAGTAGATTCAATTGCCAATTCTTTTGGGGAACTGCTCTACCAGCAGTTCGAAACAAAGAATCCTGGTGCAGTTGAGAAACAGTCTTATCACAAGGTTGCAATTGTTCATGATTCATACATGAATCGTATCGTTTTGTTCCCACCACAAGGTAGGTTAAGAAGGTGTCCCAATTGTGGATGTAAGAACAATCAATTTCCCTGTCTCGTTGAGGGATTGACAGACATGCCGGCTCACCAAGCCCATCGAGGAACCCCAATGTTTCAAATCCCCTTTGACGGACATGTCTCCTTCCTCCAGACTCTTCCATTGGCCACCTTTTGATGTTTCTTTCGAGACTCGGAAAGACGATCAAACACAAAAGAATTCCCCGCGAAGAAGATCATGAAGCAGAAGGAGGCTGAAGAAGCAGTTCAATGCTCCCTAGGTTTGAAAAACATCGGAATTGGCGGAGCTTTTCCTAATGGTAGAGGACCTTGAGATAGTTCCTCTTGAGGTTCCCTCTACTTGCCGTTTTTGCGTAGTTGCACGGACACACCGCAGGGACACCTTCCAACTGGAGTACCGCATCGTTTGGAATCCAGAAGCCAAGAAGCAGATCGACGAGCGGGGCGAGACCGGGCCATGCACGTCGTCGCGGCGTGGGAGTTGGGAGGATGATGGAGTCTTCGACGTTCAGATGGTCCTCTTTACTCTTTGGAGGTCCTCAGGTCCTGGGGGTGACCTTTTGGGAGTTTTGAGGCATTTTGGTGTTCTAGATGGTCCTCTAAGACTCCAAGATTGGCCCAAAAAGGCCTTTGTTCTGGGCTAAGCAGGAAGAGCTTGGCCAATGAGCTGCCCGTCCGGGTCGTTCGGATCCTGGAGACACGTCTGTGTGGTCCTCCGACCCACTCAGGACAAGTGGATGGTGCTGCACAATCAATCTCGTGTTGGGGAGATCTATAGTCCCACCAGGTGAAATTGGAGCGATGTTAGGTGGCCTCACAGATGAAGAACAGGATGTTCGAAGACCGTCTTCCAGAGTGGCACTTGTGTGTGGTTCTTTTGGTTTGAAGCCACTTTTCTATGGGCTCCTCGTCCCAAAGACCGGCCGAATGGCTGCTGTGAATGCCCTGAATGCGCAGGACGCGGGATGGGCACCTGGTGGTGTTGCTGCACAGCCGCCCGGAAGGGAAGATGGAAGTCGTTGGAATCATGAAACCGTGAAAGGTCTGGTGGTGATTGTATTTTTTGGTGCTGGCGATGCTGGTGGTTTCACTTGAATTCTTCCGGTTCAGATCAGATGATTTCATGGGAGCAATGCTGGTGATGCAAGTGATATATGAGTCATGATTGCACTACACCAGCATCATTAAACGACTTCGACAGAGAACCACAAATCCAACAATGGTGCAATTTCAAGGCCAGGCACATGACTTCTGTGGCTAAAGTTGTCAAGTGCCATGGCAAATCTGTTCATGCGAGTAATGACAACCCCTTCAGCTAGCATCTGACAAAGCTCGGTTAATGAGGCGTGAAGCGCACATCACATCTTCTTCTTGGTGCCCCGACTTCCCTCCACTCAATCACATGCATGCCATGTTCGGCTCCACTGGCGAGTCCCCACGAGCTGTGTCCCAATGAAGACGTGATCAAGGTTACAGTGGTCGTGTGACGGGCTCCTGGGGCTGGATCAAGCTGGCGAAATCGCTTTGGAAGCAGAACTTCACCGTGCCCGGGACAAACATGGGCAGACCGTGGAAGGGTGGTTCGCGCGAAGGGCGGTGGTGCCTGCCACCGCGCCGGCCACTACAGAGTGCTACAGCAAGGTGGATGGAGATCAATGGAGGTCTATTGGGTATTGAAGTCCATTGAAGGGTTGGGCTGCAATGTCAGAAATGGAGGGAGAGGTGGCGGAGGTGGAGGTGAAATCCAAGTCCAAGAAAATACTGGAGCCGTCCCTCAAATGTTTGTATATAGACAATTCCAGGATGATTCAACCATCTTCAAAATACATCAGTTTGGACCAGCGAGTGCGTCACTGGCAGTCCGA